TAAAGAGTGAGTGAATGAGCGAGTCGACATGTATGTCTCTCTCTCTCTATTGTGAGTGCGCTAAAGAAAAATGTAATAAACGTTCCATTACATACTTTCGAGAAAATAATCTCGATTTTCACAGATTCGAGTTCTTCCGCACATTCGCAATTTATAAATGAGCCTTTTAGAAACTAGTAGACTAATCGCCACGATTCTTTGTAAATTTCTTGATCTTAGTGTCAGATCATATAATTTATATTTCTTCATCAACTTTCTCTGCTTTTTATTTCGTCGAGCTGATTAGATTTCCAAGAGGCTTATTTAGCATTTGATGTAAAAAAGAAGTTAGAGTTCTCTCTCATTATCTTCCCTAGATTAATTCCTTTTCGGTTACAATATCGCATCTCTAAAATGCAAAGACATCTTGGTTTCGCACTGAGAATGCAGAAATATTCTCTCGTAATTATCTGATTTCGACGATCAGAATTTCGCATTACAATCCTTTGCGATGCTTTACACAAAAAACAAGAGATTGCCAAGAGTTCTTTCGAACGAAAATATGTATCCCACATCAAGGTGCGATTTTCTAACTGTAAAGCTAGCGACAGACTTGCGATTCACGTTTCGTAATTTGCGATTCGCAGAAATAATTCGTTATTCGTCAATATTAACCTTTGATTACTTGTAATTAGCGATTTATCATTTGCAACGTAATTTCATATACAGACAAATACAAATTGACTCGAAATGATTTACCCCCTTTAATTTCAGAAAATTGTTCTGTTGAACAATTTCGAATCAGCGTGAATAAACAATATAAATTCGATAAATCTTGCCCATTTAGATTACTCACAAATCTTATGTGAATAGCGAATTACAAATCACGGATCGTAAATTGCACATAGATGAGCTAGTTTTAGAAGTACAATTATAATTATCCGAGTACAGCCTAATTCATACATACATGCATTACTTACAATACTACTGGATTCGCTATTACATCGCTCTGCACTCGTGTTAATCTTTGAATGAGTTACGCAAAATACATATAATAATTGAAACACGTTCAGTTGTTGAAAATATCTTTCTGAACGAAAATCTAGACAGGTATTCCCGATGAATTTTACATGCGCGTACATTAAATTACCCTTTGCATCACAAACTCGCGGTATTTATATTTATGATCAGAAAGACTCTTGATAAAACCATCATGAAGAAGTGACGGCTTCAAGAAGGGGAATTTATTTCATCCCATCGAATATATGAAATATCTCGTGCTTCACAATATGCGTGAGACACGCGTTCATTTATAGTAAATCTTATGTCTCGATAAAATGTCAGATAATATATATTTATAAAGGTATTTATAAAGATCAACAAAGAATGTACAAATAATAAAAAATTTTTCTACAATTAAAATCCCTTAAAACCTTTTTTTTTCAGTATTAAGGTACAATATACATAGAGGAACATCCAGAAAAATTTCAATACAAATTTAAATTTCCTATATTAAAATAGAAATTTGTTGTAATTTTGTCGATATATTTCTTATATAACAATAGAATTTACGGTAAGATACCGTTCACGTTTGATAACAATGAAATTTTTAGCAAGCAAATCTTTGGCGTTACGTTGAGATAAGATCATTAAAGAGCAGTAAGATTTGCGACGAGTTATATCTCGGTTATCCGAGAGATTGTATAATATATTTTCAGCTGAAAGATTTGACACGGATTAAACACGTGAGACATGGAAAGTGAATGAATTGAGATATCCCAGAGGATATTCTTTTTCGTCTTCTGCATCAAGATTCACTTCGAAAAATTATTCGGAGTATATGAAAAATAATCTAGGGAATATTCTCTTTAATTATTGATACCGAGTTATTTTGCTCACGTCAATTTTCGTTCAAACATTTTTTCCCCTATTCTTTAGGTTCATAATCAAGATAAAAGACACGTGTTACGAGTAATCGATATATTTAAATCAACTAGAATCAATTCGTGGAGATTTCACCAATCATTTTCATCAAAGAAAGCTGTAATAAAACACAATGTTTTATCAACAACACAAGATTTAATTGAAAATAATTTTGTTGATTGATAAAATACACATGTATTAGAATTATAAAAGAGAGAATACTGCAAAAGATACAAAATAACTATATTATAACAAGAATAATCAAACATTTTGGAAAGTTAACATAGCAGTACAGAGATTCCCTACTCTTGTCAGAGATTCTCTACTCTACTCAGTAGATATTTCTTCATAAAATTATTTTCTGAAACAGAACTGGTGACCTGTTTCTGCACAACTATACTTATAATATTGATTACCACTCTTTCTAAAAGTAGTATTATAACACGTGGTATAAAAATATCAGGAGCATTAACATTCTAATAATAAGAATATTAAAAGTCTCTATAGATCATTATCTATAGAAATTTGCACTATACTCTAGGAATAAAATTAAAATCACAAATGATTTTCCCTCGACAAAACCATCTTCGAATCTGGAATGATATCGAAACAATTGTAACAGTAATATAATTAATTTGTGATATGGTGTAACTTTGGCATAAATGTGTAAACGTATCATAATCACATCATGCTGCTATACCCTGTGATTCACACATCATAAATTGATTTAGAATCTCCGCAAAGGATAGACATAAGATATACATAAATGAGCAGGTTCTCGTACTCATACGACGCAATCATGCTTTGCGTCAACAAGATTTCTAAAAATGAGATGTCTTAATTAAGTAATCAGGTCGAGCCAATACAACAATTTATATCGTATTATCGACACGCAACATTTGTTTTACGCAGAATGTACACCTACTGTAATTTATTTATACGCCGCCAATATGATGTAAACCGAGTTACTTCATATATCTACTCAACCTTTTCTCGCGAAAAGGTCAGAGTTATTTTCTATATCCGTGAATTTTAATGAAACACGTAGAATTCATCGATAGACAGAACTTGCCATATGTATACTAGGCACTATATCAACAAAATCGCGAATCAATTTCGCATATCTTCCAATTAAATTT